TTCTCGATAGTACACGCGACCGTCGTACAAACACCCTTTCTTCGCTGTTGTTCCCGAATTCACCAGCACATCTACACTCGAGGTGGACCCAAACGAAACTATCGCCTGCCCCGATTGGCTACCTTCTCTCAAGCTCATCGAACCGCCTTGCACGCCACCCCCCAAACCGGGCACGATGAACATTCAGCTTGATTCAAAGTCACTTGCCTCTCTTCTGGCCCGCGTACTACCCCGAACCCAGCGTTTCGACCTACAGCAGAGCAAACCTCTATTCACCTCTCTCCCCTTATCACTTTTGCAGGACTCGATCACTCGCCTCAGCGGTATCTCTCGACTGCGTTCCAATGACTGGCACAGCCGAAAGTTGCGACGGGTGGTGGACGGTTCATTGTTCAGGTTCAATCCCCAACACTCCCTGCTACCTCTTGGAGTACAAGCATTGGGGCCATGACCCACCCCCTTTCGAATCCCGTTTATTTGACGTCGAGAATACCCACAAGTGGGTCCTCGCATATCCTGCCCGCCGTGGAGGGCTCCATCCGGTTATATCACTGGCCACCTTCACCAGGTCTTCTTCGAACACCACGGAGTGGCGGTATGGGGGATGTATGCACTGCTTTTCTGGCCGGAACTTCTACTCATCGCGGAAACGAAGTCTCCCTTACTCAAATGGAGGCTTTGGGGAGAGTCTGTGCATCTCGGGTAGATCCTCTCGTCGTACGTCAAAGGAAGATGTTTAGGATCTCGCCGCCGTGGTTCTGGAGAGAACATTCCGTCACCACCTCCGTCCGAATCGAACAGCCCTGGCAAGGAAATGATCCGAAGGAAGGAAGCGGAGCGGACGCCAATTTGAGAGGGGTAGTCGTGACTTGTGAGTACTTTCCTTCCTTCGCTGATCATCAGAAAACATGGCTTATATCACGCTAGTTCGTTCTCTTTCTAAGATATATGACTTATTCTTGTTCTGGTTCTCTACGCCGCGCGCTACTCCCCCTACTTTCAACTCACCCATCTCTATGCCTACCCCCGTAACATGATGCCTATACGTATTCAAGATCGGACGTCTATGTCTTGGGTGCCTTTTTGTTCGTATCTACACTCCTTCCTAAGTACATCTGATTGCTCCTACTTACCTCGCTGTGTCATCATACGTATATTGTGAGATACAAATAGCTTCATTCACCAATCCATAACCTCCTGCTTGGTCGAACTCTATGGGAGCTATAGAATCGTGAGGTAACGCATGTGCATTTGTAGCCAGATAGCATTGATACTATCTCGTTTAATAACTTCTGAGCATCCACGACCGGGTAGGGCGTTAACCGTCAAGGCTCTTTATATTATATAACTGTATAGACGTTCAACTCCAGTTCGCACCACCCTCCCATCTTGTAATGGTGAGTCTCAGGCTCTGGAGGATCTATAACTCGTGAAAATACTTGTACTACGACCTGGTTCTATGCATTCCCTACGCTCATTCTGGGACAATTATCGATGCCGGTACATCTTGGAGTCAATCTGCAGGGGCTCGTAGGTTCGGCGTGCCAGCGATTTTGGGCTCAAGGTAATTCTCGTACGAAACCCAATGACGGTTCAGAGGGGGTTCCCTAAGTTATACCTCGCGATCACATGGCGAGATGCCTGAGCGGTCCAGGGCGCCAGACTAGGGTTCAGCGCTGTCTGAAGTGCAGTGCATCTGGTCCTCCGGGGCGTGGGTTTAAATCCCACTCTCGTTGTAAAGCGAGAGTTTTTCCCTCTAGAATTCACTCAGTGACACCATACTCACGGGTTCGCTCGCTCTATCTCATACTATTCTCTCGACTATAAAGTGCACTCCGCGTGACGATGTGAGTGACCTTGTTCCCTGGCGTCGATGTGTGCTAAGGCTAGTTCAAAAGCTCGGACCATTCAAAAGCCGGTAGATGCTCAACGACGAACATTGATTGCGCACTTCCACTAAATAGTACATTGTGAGAAACATCCATTCGTGATAAGTCACTTACTTGTACTGAGTACTTCGCATTGTCACATACCCACAATTCAGTCCCTCGGAGCCGTCGAGTTCGCCTCTGAAATCAAGTGTAGCCTTTATATGCGGTTTAGCGATTGGTGCCTTCTTACTTCTGATTCTACTCCTCTTGGTTTTCCTATGTTAGAGACGCGGTACGCTCTCGCAGAGTATATGATCATCGCATCTTTCCATTAATCGATGTCCTTAGAGACTCGACGGCTACAGGCATACATGAACGCTGTTACGCCGCGCCCATTATCCCCAGCAATCAGCCCGCCTCAGAAAAACTTTTGCTCAAAGCAATCAGCTAGCGTCAATCATATCACCCCGGTTGTTCACGGTACACAGAGCACCATCACAACTACTACAGTGTGGGGTGACACGAACCAAAGTGAAAACTCGGGGCAGACTCGGAGTTACGAGAATAGCACTCGCAGAGACCAGTACTACCGACACGGGCACAAGAGAGAGGAAGACTCGTGGATCGAAAGCTCGCAAGTAACGTCAATGTCATTTCTCACTTGTACCACCGACGTGCCAGATATAGAATTTTTGCAAATCCAGCTTAAGGCTTTAGAGCGCAGGGTGGCGTTACTCGAGACGGGGGTAGAGGGGCCCCCAGACTATTCCTCCTCTGCCAGCCGGTCAGCACAGTAGTTAGGCTTCATTATTACCATATCACATCACCACATCACCATATACGTTACATTAAACCTTCGATTTATTGAGATTCCTCGAGATATCTAAAACCATTCACCCTTCTGTCTGCGAAACCGAGACCGCTGTGGGCGTAGGTCGAAGGTCATTTATGAGAGATGACGCCCCTGAATGCCACCTCTGAGATTTTGTTCTTATCTACGTTCGCTCTGACGATGAGGAGGGTCGGAGCGATCCTTTGTCATGCGAGACGGATGTCATGAACCACAATGAACTTGTTAATGCCCTTCAAACTGCTTACCGCCACTCGAAGAACCACTGATGTGATGTCTATAATCTGAACAATGATATACCACAAATAGTGAGTGCGATTCATGCCGCGACGTGAAGCGCACATGATTCTATCCTGGTAATGACTTGAAAAATTAGCTCCAGGGCTTGATTCGGAAGCTAGATTGAATGAGGCTTACTCAGGAGGAATACAACTGTACGGAATCTCTTTGGAGGTTTTTGGGGTACCGGGTTGTAGGCTTTTGAAGGCTAGAGTGTATTCCCGACTGTAGTGGGAACTCTCCTCGGTTGAGACTGTACCTCTCGGATCTGTATCTGATGAAATACATCAGACTTTTGATGGTAGAGGCATGCTCGGGATACCCAAGTTTCCAAATCAAGGCATCATCTCTCTGCCCAGTCTGTCCACGTCGGGATTGCTTTTTTGGGAGTTCTATCATTGGGTAGCTTGCGAATCATGTGGGAGAAGTTCTCACCAAATATCATGATGATCGCTTGTGTGAACCCGCGATATCAGATAGATGCGAAGTATGATACATGATCCATATACGCTTCTAGTTTGTTCTATCATTGGTAGTTGCAAAACGTATTTGAAGATTATCCGTCTGGAACTGACTCAAAAATCCCCCCTCCGTCTGAGCAAAGTTAATTAGCTGGTGGGCCTCAACTTTGGGACAAGAGTACGGTATCGCTTTCCGAGGACATTGGTATCCACCAAGGCTTAGGACAGTAGACTGGCGGCCACTTTGATGAACTTGAACGGTGCGTCCCATATATCAACATTGTGAGCCTCTTAGCAGTGCTCAACATGCTGTGATAGTACATCACAAGTCTCAAGGCTGGGTCGTCTCTTTGGCCCTCAAGAGTGAGTGCTATTTATGCTCTACTGTTGCGAATCACTCGGCAGTCATTGAAACTCGCCACTCGTAGAGACGAGTTTCCCCCCTCAACGACCACTTCGGTTGCCGAGGGCCACAAGTTCAACTTCAGAAGATGGCGGAATCATATCCTCATTAATTTCTGCGGTGTCTCCCGTTCAGCAGTAAGTAGCTTTATGACAATGTGGCTGTAGGCCTACTAAAAAAGACTTGTCAAAATTCATCCAGTGCTCCAACCGATGCTTCAGCCACTGCTACTATTCGTTCGCCACTGCCTAATAGTCGTACCACGACAATCACACCCCCGATTGCAAGGTGGGGGATAAGAGTTGTTTCTGAATGTCTGAAAGCGCCTCACATTAACCCTACCTTAAATTGATCTATCAAGCACGCGATCAGCAAACACGTCTCCGTTAGTATTTCGAATCCCTTAACATCCACATCGTCTTACAAATATGTCCAGCCCTACTAATGCTGGAAATACAGGTTAAGCAACAACGACACCCGATACCCCTTCGACTACATCGTGAGCCTATATATTTGTCTTCTCCCGACCAAAGTACACATCTTTTCCCCTCACGCTGTGTAACAGCAACCAGGAACTGCAAATGCAAGCAACATCCCCGAGCACTACCTCTTCATCCCAAAGTGCTCCAGCCTCTAACAGGACAATGTTATCCGAGTCGTCGAAGTTGAACTCAAACCCTTCGCAATCCCAAACGAATCTCGTTGTACCCAATACTATGTCTCAAAGCACGCCTACCACAGCGGCTGTGACGACTAGTCTTGGTCCTGTACCCTCAAGGACGCCAGGTTCACGTCGTGAAGAGAATATTGGTCTCATAGCTGGGATGGCGATCGGACTAACTGTCCTGATTTTGCTCCTCCTGTTTTTCTTCTATTCGAGGCGAAGAAAACATAGTGAGTTTGAGAGAATGAAGCTATTATGTTATTGCCCCCACTGACCAGCCTCTTTAGATGCTCGACGTTCCCAAGAACGCGCGAGCAACGTGATGCCTCGCCCACTGTCTCTGTCAGCTCAACCAACTGAGAAAGGGTCAGACTCAAAAGGATTAGCATTTATGCCTTCCACTACCTTAAATACACAGGCATCTAACGCTGTTTCCAAAGCAGGACGTGAGAGGACCCAGAGTCCTTTGAACTCGTCGGAAATTCCAAGTGATGGAAGAAGCGCTCGGGAGTACCCCCAACCTCTTGATCATGAGGGCGGAGAGTGGCTTGAACGCTCTGGGCTTTCTTCCCCTTTCATTATCTCTGATTTTACCATGGATGTGGATAATGTGCAGGTCCTACGAGCCCAGCTAACTGCTGCGTTGCATAGGCTGGCAGTCCTCGAGCCAGCAGAAGAGGCACCACCAGATTACGTGTCTTCTGCCAGTCAGTAGTCATATTAGTGTTTTATATGTAAACCAGGATTGTGTGAGTCTTCACCTGGAGACACCATTTGATTATATCTCTTCTGTCAGTTGGCATAGAAGGCAAATTTGCTATTTCTACAACTGTTGGTGTAGTTGAGAACTATGCTTTGAGCTAATATATACCCACATGGATTAACTCAGAATACTGATCCATTTCGCTCAATTTGTATGTCACATGTCACACAGCCTTCCATATACAAAAATTTTTCGGATGGTCACTATGTCACAAGGGGTCCATACGAATTGTCCCGGTATGTGACCGAAATTTTGAGCAGCCTGATTTCCGGTGACAAACACTGCCTACCATCTCAGAGTCCCCAATTCCTTCCTTCTTTCCTTCCCACCTCTCCCCTCACCACCATCTTCAAGCTTGAATGTTCAAATATGCCAATGATCCGGATTAAAATATAATCACACTGCTAGTTCCCACATGTACGCTTGGGAGTCCCATTGGGGTGTCACTGGTCACACCAGGTTCATACACAAACCCCCCGTCAAAATTTTTTGTCACATCAAAACCCCCATACAAATTGAGCGAAATGGGTCAGTAGTGCAGTTGTGGCTTTTTTAACCACTTGACCAGCCAGAACTCCTTAGAGCCCCTGTCACACTCTAATGGGCTATGTCTACAAATATTTACCAAAGTAACAAATGTCAAACACTACCCCAGAGCCAACTTCAAGACCCACACTTGTGGCCTAAGCTTGGAGATGAGGTATTACTGGGTTGGTGCAAGGCCATATGTGCTGCTGCTACCTGAGTTCAGGTGTGACACTCTCATCTGTTTACCATGCCTGTGAACAAAGGCCACCATATGTCTCTTAATCTGATTTAGGTATCCTTGAGCTGAAGCTCACTATTGACATTATATCCTCCATTCCAGAAGCTGGATGAATGTTGTGTTTTGCTGCTAAGGTGGGTTTGATCACACAGTCTCTTTTGTGGATGGTTTATGTTCTCTTTCTCCACATTCCTTGCCCTTCTGACCCTCTCATGCCACCTCACTGGTGTTGAGTCAGCATAGTTAAATGCACAGTGGTTATAATGAAATGAACCTCACATGGGTGAAGCTTGAGTTAGAAGTCTTAAGATGCTTGAGTTGTAGTGCAATAGATTGATAAACTTGTATATTGAACTGAGGACTCTTCGCCTCTTTCTACCTAGCTTTTATACTAAAGTCCTTGCCTATCTACTAGTTATGCAGAGGTAGGTAAGTGTGAATATGCTCACTGATAATACTAGAAGTACCTCCAATCATCTCCCTTGTATTTCACTACCTTCTCTTGGACTACACATGATATTCATGCATCATACGACACAGTACAACCCCAGTTCGGATCATGACAACGATCCTCACTGGTATATAAACTCAGTAGATAGGAATCATGTACTTTAGTTTCTGTCTATTGTTAATCTCGTTCTACAAGCTTCAAGCTACTGTCTGGTGTGTTTCACTCTCA